CTGTTTCAACACCCAGTAGCACACACACAAAAAGGGGGGGGGTGACTGGAGATGTTGTTCAGGGGTAGAACATGGCTGAGTTCAAACCCTAGTACTGCCAAAAAGAAAAAGATTTTTTAAAAAGACAAAGAAATTAATATTAGGAATCAATCAACATCTGAATGTTACATATATGCCTGCAACAAATACATGCACGTGACACGTACATAATATTCTTGGCTAGCTCCTGGTGATGCCTTGTTAGTTGTACCATTCAAAGTCCTCAGTCTGGGTCGTGTGGGGATGTGGCTTAGCAGCAGAGCAATTGTCTGGCATGACCAAGGTTCTGGGTTCAATCCTTATGGGGAAGAAAAGCTGCAGTCTGACCGGAGGCAGAGAAACCAGAGAGTTCTAACACAGGGTCTGGAGCTTTCATGGGGGAGAGTGACTGGCTGTGGCCTTCTAGACTTCTTTCCCTGAGCTGCATTTTGGAGACTACTTGATTCTGGACCAGATCTTGGGGTTCACTTGGACTTCAGCCAGCCCTCACTGTATCCTGATGAAGATGTGTTGCCCAGACAACGTCTAGAAACCAGGTGCTCAACCCACAGGGGAGGAGAAGCAGAGAAACTGGGTCCTCTCTTCAGTGAAGCTATCGGAGCGGAAATCTCAGACCTCTGCGGGGACCTGAAGCCTGGGGAGGAAGTGCCCCCCCACTTGCCTCTCGGCTGGCTCAGCAATTTGCCATCTCCCCAGGGACCTTGGGGTGGGGGTGATGTCAAGGCCACAGACATATCCGGTGTCTGCCAGGGCAACAGTGGCTCCCAGACGAAGGTGATATCCCCAGCGACACACAGATACACCAACAGGCAACTTCCGCCTCCCTCCTGCCTCTGGGGCAATATGCGCTCTTCTCCAGGTCAGCTGGGAGAGGCCTGGACTTCCTGATAATCTGAAGAGGTCAAAGGGAGAGCTGGCCCTGCCCTAGGGGGCCCGTGAACGAGGGAACAGTGGCAGAGGAAGGAAACAGGGACCTTTCTTGAAGAGCTCTCAGGCAGGGAAAATAGAGGAGAAGGAAGGGGTTCAGATGAGCTTCCACGAATTATAGAATCACAATAATGGCTAACGCTCATACCACACTGTGTGCTGGGCSTGGCTCTGTGGACCCTCACAACCTAAGGAGGTGGATATTATTATTATTATTCTCATCACCCCATTTTACAGATGAAGAAACCTGAGTGCTGTGCTTTGGATAAGGTTGGTGTGTGTGCCCCGGGCTTCACAGGTTTACATTGAGTTCCTACTGTGGAGTATTAAGAGGTGGAAATTGATTCCCGTTCTGGTGTTTAGAGATGGGGCCTTTGGAAGGTAATTAGGATAAGTCATCAGGGTGCAGCCCCCGTGATTGAATACTGTTGGCTAAGAAAAGGGAGGCTGGGGGTGTAGCTCCGTGGTAGAACGCTTACCTAGCATTCGAGAGGCCCTGGG